CTGTGTAAAAAGGCTGTAAATTGTTTGACGGATGCTTGTTAAACTTTTGATGATTCTGAGAAAACTCCGGCCATCACCGACCTGTCACACTCTCATTCTCTCTTGTGAAATCTGCATGCTGAGGAATGTCATAGCTTTGCAGAATGTTAATATTGCACATAGAAATCTTTTTTCTTCTGAGTACAGAAATCTCTCCCTTGAAAGGTAAAATTACACTCCTCTTATGATTACGGTGTGATTGACTGTGACAGTTTGAAAAAAAAGAAAAAAACTGCACAAAGACACCTGTATTCTGAAAAAAGGAAATAAGGCAGGAGAGATTTAACAGTTTCAAGACTTTTTTTTACAACAGAGTATTAGGGCCACATTAAAAAATAATAATAATAAATAAGACTTTGAGATTAAAGTTGTCAATTTGTGAGAATAAAGGCGTAACTAACAATAATAAAGTCATTACTAACAAAAATAAACTCATTAATAACAAGAATAAAGTCGTAATAAAATCATTATGATAGGCTACTTATGATAATGTGGTGTTGAAGTGCCAAAAGATTTAGTGTCTCCTTGTTTAAGAAACCTTTATTGAAGCACATTTTCAAGAAATGTACCATGGCTCTAATTCAGTGGTTCTCAAGTCCAGTCCTCGAGCCCCCCCCTGTCCTGAATGTTTTGGATGTTTCCCTGCTCCAACACACCTGATTCAAATGATCAGCTCGTTATCAAGCTCTGTAATGGCTCAATAACGAGCTGATTATTTGAATCAGGTGTGTTGCTCTAATTTCAACAACAGTCATCTTAAACAACAGGTTAGAATATGAGGACTTTATTCTGATAAGTACTGATTCAAGTACGACTTTTATACTTATAAGTAGTTACTTTAATACGACTTTATCCTCATAATGATTTTATTACTACTTTATTTTCAAAAATACTGATTTTAGTACGTCTTTATTCTCGTAATTACTTTATTACGACTTTATCCTCATAAGTAATGATTTTATTAAGATTTTATTCTCGTAAGTAGTTTCTATATCAATGACTTAAATTTTAAAGTCTTTTTTTCCTAATGTGGCTCTAATTGTCCATTGTACTTTTTGATTATTATTTAGCTTGAATGATTTTGATGATTTGAGCAAGTTTTGTATTCTACATCTACTCTGGTTTGCACAAAAGTTTTCTGTGTTTTGAATTAAGAAACTAAAGAATCAGACTTATTTATATTTAGGATACTATTTCAGCACCTCCTTTAAGTTTTATGCACAACTGCTGACGTTTGCCTCCAGTTCCCGGCGTCTCCAGTGAAGCCATCACACAAATAAATCGTTAATGACCTTTAGTGCCTAAGAGGGCTCCTAACCTCGGCTGAAGACCCGGCGTGACAGCCACTGGAGTGAGTACAACCACTGCACACTGATAGTGCTGAATATCTACGCCCTTGACATGACAGAGAGAGGTAGAGGCCTGAGAGTGGTCACATTACATTAGCATGGGCATGGCTTGACTGGCTGACAGGGCAGTCTGACTGGAGCCCTGTGCTGTTGGTTAAGGCAGCATGGAGAAGTCGAGAGGGCAGTGGGGGCTACCAACCTTAGGGCATTACATGTGGCTGTCTAAGAGGGTCAGTCAGCAAAACCAGGCAACCACCCATCAGTAATAAAATCAGTTACAGTCAATATATTGTAGCATGAATGCTCGAGTTCTTTGATCACAATATGGAATCATAGACTGTGTAAAAATGGATGCAACCCCTGCCACCTATTGGTTTCACCTCACCCAGTGCGTTTACATCGGACTAAGCTCATAATTCGTTTTCTTCGCCGAATCGGACTTCTCTCCTTGTCCACGTATACATGCAGCTGAGAAAATCGAATTATAGACGTGAACGTGTCCTCCTCCCAAAAACTAGGCAGCAATATAGGTCTTTTCAGAGGCACTGTTTCCGGACCTTTTTGAAAGACGTCTCCGTTCCTTGTTTTGCGACCGTCCATATACTTTCAATTTCCATTTCTGTCAGGACGGAAAGCATATCAGCACTCTCCTCGTCATTCCAAAAGTGGGCAATCTTTCATGCTTCAGCCCTGTTTCAGTTGCTTCTGAGTCAAAAGTTCTTTAAATGATAGTGCCACTTCTTCTCTGGTGTTTTTGTTCCACAGAGGCGCGGCGCATGCACACATGCATTGTCCATCATACTCCAACTACGCTGGTTACATGGTAGAGAAAATCGAATTCCAATCGCATTATCAGGGTGTCTTAATCGGTTGTCTGGTCTTAATTGGAGTGAGGCAATAACTTGTTTTTCTCGAGTGTCTTGTAAATGTACTGACTGAGTAAAGAGGGGCCTTAAAGACGGCCATGTTAGTTCTCTTCAAGAGGTAGTTATCAGACCTGAATACACAACACCTTTTGCTAATTAATAAGCCAGTGAATAAGCTAAATCACCCTTAGATGTATCCACGGAGGGAAATTCCACTTGTGTTAGTGGTTACATCTGTCAGAAAACAGATGCAGAGCTTGAGGAGAGAGCTTGTAACATATAGTGAACTTCTGATGAAGTACGCTAAATACAAAAATTGCAAAGAAGGTTTTGGCAACATTATAGTGAAATGATTCTCAGAATCTTTTAACAGTCTTTTAACAGAAGAGACAAAACCAAGGACCTCAGGAGCCACTGCCTTAGAAACATACATGTCTCTGCAGTATGAATCCCATCCAGACACTGTTGTCTGTGGACACTGTTTGTCTGCAGATCCTCAAATGCAATTTCAAACTATACAATGCAAAGAGGAGACTGTACAAAAACATGGTCAAGACATGCAGCTGGCTCTTGAAGCCCATTTAGACTGAGATGGGAAAATGTCTTTTTGGAAATCATGGACACTGCATCTTTTTACCCTAATGAGGAGACCACTGAGTTCATTATCAGCTTGCAGTTCAAGAGCAAGCATCTGTGATAGTATGGGGATGCATAAGGGCCCATGGCATAGTTTGCTACACATCTGTGAAGGTATAATTGATGCTGAATAATCAAGCAGTTACATAAATCCAGGCACCTGCTTAAAGACACAGGTGTGCACATGTGAGAGGCACGCTCTTTGTCTCAGTGCCTTTCTTATTTCACAGTGTAGGTGTGTGCAGTCAGAAGTCCATTGCTCTTTATGGAGAAGTCAGCTTTTCAGCGGCTCTACAGCCCCTCTGTCAAATTAGATTAAGGGCTGCTTACTCATTATTGACAGGAGCCGCTTGCAGTAATGACCCATAGTGAGAGAGTCATTTACTTTGATGGTAAGAACACAGGGTACACTGGACTTTTCCCTCAGCACATCTCTTTAGGGTGAAAAGAGGCCTTTGATGGCTGATAGATTTTTTGAATTATTCTACAACGCAATGTTCGTTGTGCATCTGGCCAACTTTGATCTAAAAAGCATCTGTCTGATGTTTTTTTCCCCCTCTCCCCTTCTTTGGCCCACCCTACGGTCTGTTGGCAGAGAGGTTAGACTTGATAAAGCACCCTCGGACTGTTTGTTGGCATTTCATTTGTTTGAGTCGGAAAGATGACAGAAGTCACATTTAATTACGAGATTCTTGTGTCACCTGAAGAGATGAGGGGGTATGGTGGGGACGCATGATGCATACAAAATGAGCAGAGTCTGTTCTCTTCCATATTCAAAAATGAATCGGACTATTTGGCTGCTCTGCTCGGCGCGGTGTGTGTTTGTGCTCCTGCATTCATTTCCATTACCCACGCTGTCTGCAGGTGTGTTTGCGTTGGTGCATGCGTGTGCACTCATACGTCATGTGCTATCATGCGTGTGTTTACATTATCTGTTTGCATACCTCCCGCAAGATGTGTTGTAAATTTCTGATTGTCAACAATTTCAGAGCCCCACAGCTGTGCAGTCACCTTGTCCAAACAGCAGGGCGCCCATCAGATTCAGTACGTGCAGAAATATGTGATCAACACAAGACTGCCAGAGAGGACCAGTGATAAGACCTTAGATCCAATTTTGATCGCTGAAGTATATCAAAAAAGGTACATCTTTACTTATAGATTTAGACCAAGTGTGCACCAGAAAATCCAGAAAACACTTCTTTAGCTTGATGTTTTCTGTCTATGGTTTTATTGTAAAAGGATTCTTCCAAACTATTATCATGGAAAGTGAAAAGTGATGGTAAAATCAGTTTTAGTAAGGATGACTTAGAATTCTTTCTTGCGTTGGCTTACCAAAGCTGCAATCTCATGTATACCTCGACAGCAATGTAGCCTCAGGGACTGATGGTGAACTTTTCAGACATTTCATTGTATCCTGCCATTATAAAGCGAAAACTGACAGACAAGATGTTTTTATCCACACATCCCAATCCTCTCGTTCCAGTTAGCAGTTTGAGAAGCAATTGTCATGTACAATTCAAAACTACATAAAGTTTATCCCTCTAGATATATTGTAGGAGACGCCATGTTATTGGTTTGTTACATCATCTTGAACCTTTTGATCCATATGTGTTAAGTCTCAGTTTCACTGTTAATACTAAGTAATACACCAGCTTTACTCTGGCTCACCTACAATGTGTCAACCAACAAAAGGAGGTTATCTTAATGTGAGTGCAATCAACAATTTGGGCTGTCATGATATCAGATTTTCAGCTATTTTTGATAATCGTTGCCATAAAATGAAGATATGAGCTCAATATTTATGGAAATCTTGGCAAGAATCCAACACAATCAGTCAAATTGAGGAAAGGCAAAACAAGAGTGGAGAAACATATTACTTCCTAAAATTACACATCACCCATTTCCAATGGTTTTCACATTTGTGGTTCATTTACATCGACAGTTTTCAGAAAGTACTAATCCACTTGCGGACATGCCTCATAAGTGGTATACTATTATTTACTTCCTGATAAACTCTGTTCCTGTTTAAATCTCTGGACAAAATAGAGCTGCGTTGTTCTGGCAGTAGGGCAGTAGAGGTTGTTAATCAGCATCTGACGTCTCGAGCTGACAGTCTGCTTTACTGCAAGGGACAGAGACTGATGTGTCGTTGGGCCTCTGCACTGTACGTCTCCACAGCTGTAGATTTAAATGTGAGATTTGAGATGTCCACCCTGTGAGCCCTTGGCCTGCCCAACCTGTCACCATGACTTCAACTCTAAGACTTGAGTCATGAGCCATCGCTCCTCATCTGAGTGCATATGTTACCACTGACCTTTATAGGGCAGGCATGATGGTAACATTTCTCCTGACAGCATGCTAACATTTTGCATGATTTATTTGCTTACCAATGGTGTCCATCTTTTCCTGCCCCTAAGATACATCAATAAAATCCAGCATATACAGTGAAAAATCCATCCTATAAGGCTTTGGAGGTGTCAGTTACACAATTAATGTCTTTCCTACATGAAGAACTGAAAACAATAGACATTTTCACGATAATACAACTGTTTTTCTCAGCTTACTGAAGTGCAAATGGCATGCATTTGTGCTGCTAACTAATATGAAACATGTGCCACCATGTTAGAAGTTTCAGGACAATGCTATCGTTGTGAATATAGCTGTTGCAGATACAGTCATTTAGGGTTACCATTAAAACAAACTGATTGTTTAAAATTTTAAGCATTACATGTGAGCAGGTTGAAATAAAAAAGCCAGTTATGTTTGTTCAAATACTTCAATATCTATTAATTTTAAAATGGGCCTTTGATTTAGAAATGTGTACATTGACAAAAAAAAATTACAGTTGCTCTATACTTCTGTTAATATATAATTTATAGCCCAAACAGGGCTTGATACTAACTTTTACACAGGTTAAAAAGTAAGGAGCACACAAAGAACTTCAGGGGCACAATGAAAATTGATCAAATAATGTGTGTCCTCTTGGTCGACACAAGTACTATTATTAAAAAACATTTTTGGTCACATGACATGGAAGCTATTGAAGATAATGTTCAAAACTTGCCTTTAAATTTAACACAAAAAAATTTATGAGGACAAATTAGGGAAATAGAGTGTGTCTTAATGGTCGACATAAATACTATTATTTGAAATTGATTTTAAGTCAATTGGTCACATGACATAAAGGAAAACAGCCTTTTCTGAGAACACCAACCAGTAATTTATTGACGGTCCCTTATTTGACACCCAACGTTGACAGCGAGGATGCTGAGAAGATTTAACTGCGCTGCTGTTGCTATTCGCGGTTATAGAGTGAGAAGACACCGGTGGATCCACAGTGAATGTCCGTCGAATATCCAACCTAAAACTAACTTCACTGCGTTATTTACATGAAAAAACATTTGTTGCCCCGGCCAATTTTTTTATGCACGCATGTGCCCCTAAATACATGTGCAATTTGCACACATCTATTTTTAGTCGCAAATGGGAGTAAAACAGTCTCACTGTCGAGCCCTGCCAAAACATATGAAGTGCTTCATCCCAGAATAATAAAAAGGCTTATAGTGTCATATTGTGTCATATCTTGTCAAATGCTGTGTATTGTCATGATAATTTCAGGTATATGTCCCGGTGTAAGTTACTTAGAAGCCAATGAGAATATAGATTGTTTACGTCTACAATGCTGGGCATGATAGTTCTAACATTTAGTGCAAACATGGCTGCTGGCGGTGTTTCACTGGGCTAGTTCTATGTGTGAGGCAGAATCTGGTTTGCGGCTTTAGAGCAAATGACCTCGCCCTATTTCTTTTTCTGCCCCCAGCCTCTGTAGCTGCTGTATCCTGGCTCTGTGTGTCCAGTTCAAGGCAATCTGGCAGGTGGAGTTAGAGAGGAGCACAATGTTGTCAAACAGAAATCAGATTTGCTCCACTCTCCATTAGCCTTAGCCCCTTCACTCTCCCCTCTGGAGATCACATTAAATGACATCTGCTATCATCAGGATAACCTGTGTCAGCTCCGTGACAGGACTGCAGATGCAGGGCCACAGATTGCAAGGAAGTGGAGGAAAGAGAGGAGCGATAAAGGAGATCCAGCTAGCTTAGGAGTCTTCAGACTTACATTAGGGCTTGTTAAATCAGTCCCAGATTATAATTAACATATAAATCGATGCTGGTTCATAAACCAGGCATGGTACAGTGAAGAACAGCTTTATTCCAGTGGGAGGATGGAGAAGGAGGATGCATTCAGGGTGACTAGCTCCAGCTCATATCACTGTCCTAATAGCATTCTGCAGGACATGGTAAATGTGATCAGGAATCATGCATGTTTCACAGGAGCATCTCTGGGAAATGTGGTGGGTTTCCACTGCCAGGCTTGGCCTGATAAGGGAGTCCAGTGAATGACAGCAGCCTGAGCGCTTGTCAAAAGTATCGATGCGTGACTCGTTTCTACAGCATCAGCCACAACCAAATAGCTCCCCTTATCTCCTGACAGTACCATTTGGAGGACTCGCACTCTTCTATCTGTTATTTTCCTCCCTCCTTTCATTGCCATTGCCCCGCCTCTTTCCTTTGGCAGTACAAACAGGCTACTGCTGTTGACTCGGAAATGATAAGATGAGCCTCTTTGTCACACGCTTCTTCAGCTTCCACTTCCTTTGAAGCAGCTCCACTTTGTTGCCTGTTTCAACATCTGTTTCCGTCTTTTTTCGGCCTCTCAAAGGACTGTTTATGTCATTCCACCTCTTTAACACCAATTACCATCTAGACCAAGCAGGTTCTCTCTTTGAAAACATGCACGCAGCTTCTGTTGAAGCATCCAAGCTGCTAACCTCTTGAAGCCCTCTTTCACAAGCCCTTCATGCAAACGCTCCCTAATGGTATTTATTGTGCAGTATAGTATGCATGCTTTGTGACTCTTCACTGAATATAACACTACCTCCAGGCTTCTGTCCAACACGCTCCCATTGAGTACTAATCATCTGGCAGAATTTGAAGTCTGCTTTTCTGGAGGAAATCATTATAGAGCCTCACAGAGAAGCAGCCTCCAAACAGTCAGGCCCAGATATTGTTGGACTGAGGCGTCTGCACAGGCGCCTGATTAAAAAAGAAGCATGGGCATTAATTGGCCAGCTGATGTTAGGTTGTCAGCAGTAGCTGATGGCTCATTATGCTTCTTGAGCAGTGTAGAAGGAGGATGAGAGTTGAGCTCGCCCCCTCACTCATCTCGTTTTGGCCATCCTTAAACCGAGCCCACCCTGTAATTTCAGCATCAACACATCACTCAAAGGGTCTGGAGTATTAGATAAATAGAATCTGTCAGTCCCATGAATGCAGACTTGTAGAGGCCAGGATGGGGAGATGGGTATGATTGTGCTTGTGTGTGTGTGTGTGTGTGCGCGCGCGTGTGTGTGTTTGTTTATGAAGCAGGGATTCATGGGGACAGTTTGCTTGGCTAATGGGGTTGGCGGGCAGCACAGTGCTCTCTCAGGCGAACAGCTAATTAGCAGCAGCAGATGAGAACATGGTGAGTGTGTGTCCAGGATCCAGAGACACACTGCTCAACCAACCAGGAACACGCCGTCACCCCTCTGCCCAATCAGCGGCCCTGAGCTGAGATCTCCCTTCCTTGTTTAGTGTCCATTCAGCCAATAGTGCGACTCTTTAACCTTTGTCGGACTCTTCCGCCTCTCCGGAGAAGCTTCCATTTACCATGGCAACGACATGTGTCAAACGGCTACTTAGCCCTGAGGGAATCTCACAAAAACGGAATCCATCAAGTTCAGGGTCATTTAACGTTCATTCCCCATCACCGCCACTGCAGCTGCAGATGAACAATTGGAGAGCGAGGAGTGTCCTTGAGATGGAATTGAGATTTTTGTGCAATAAGGAAGTGTGTGGGAGCACAAAGGCTGAATCTCTTTGGCAGCACATGGCCATGATGGACACCTTTCTTTACATGAGCTACATGAGACCTTGGAGCTCTGAGCGGAAATAATCTTTCAGAGTTTTGCGACTGGCATGTGTAGAATTTCCCCTAATAAAAGATAAAATATAATCCAAAACGGCATCTTTACACCAACCTCTGGCATTTCGGCAGATTTAAGCAGTTATTAAATTACTGTTTGAATTTCTTCTTGAATCTGAAATACCGTGCTGTCATTGCAAAGAGCTGTCAGGTCATGTCTCAGCATCTTTCAGATAGTAATTATACTGACTCAAGGGCGAAAAGGTGGGATCTATCTCATATTTCCTGTGTAACCATGGCAATGACTTTCCAAGACTGAACAGTTTGTGCAGACCAGCGTCTGCCACAGAAATACATCACTGTTTTCCGGAAAAAAAAAGAGGTGGATAATGCTGCCGCTGGAGGTTGTAATTGCAGTGATTGTTATTGCCATAATCATAAAGATCTTTGGCAGACGAAGAAATGAGGGGAACTCAAAGTCATGCTTTTTGTAAATAGTGCCAGGAGTTTTATTGTTTTTTTGTTTTTTTAGTCCTAGTCATCCTTTTGACAGTTACTACACTGACAGCTATGATATGGATGAGGACTGCAACACAGGACCTTGTCTTTAAAGCTCATCTATCATTCATCAGAGGTTAGCTCAAGTAAGTCTGAAAATACAGGGGTATAATCTCTCAAGGGTGACATACAAAAATGTTGCAGAGCATTTTTGAACAGCATCTGGACATCTGCTCTTCACTTTAAAGGGAGATTTATTTTTTGGCAGGGGAGGTTGTATGTACTATTCAGCAGTAGAAAACATATTAACCCGTTACTGACAGACCAACCAGAGAGCTGTAGTGGAAGCTAGGCTATCAACTGCTACAGATTCGGTCCATTTTAACACTTTTTTATAGTAATTTTTAAAAAGTGCCAATCTAACATTAAAGCTCCTGCGAGGAACTTTCAGTGTGTGTCAGTTTTGGCGCTCCCTGTGGCCAAAAAGCAACACTGCTTTGCCTCTTTGCAATGTGAAAATTATAAGAATAGGGTTATTTCTCAAAGCTGACACCTACCCCTTTATACTGGTTTGATGCATGAAAATTTTCAAATCAAAAGTTGCCAGTCTTGTTAATCATGGTCTTGTTTACTATTGTAAATCAATAAAAAACATAAATTTCAGTCCACTTATAAGTTTAAAAAAAGTCCTTACAGAAGCTTTAATGTCAGTGTGAGTAAACATTATAGGTGCATTTTGACCACAGAAACTAGGGTCTGAATTTAGTTCTGAGGTGGAAGATTTACCCTTTGAAAGTCCCTGCTCAGGTGGTGCTACTGTGTCATGGCTTTGGGACTTAAGGGGGCAGGGCCTGATATATACACATCAAAACAACAGATTGTTAATTTACATTATAATGCTGTTTACACAGACACACACAAAAAGTAAGAAACCCTGGAGTGGTACTGGATCATATCCTACAAAACCTAATGTTATTGAATCTGTATTTGTTTACCCAGTTGTTGTTGTGTTGTTTGGGTAATAAGTCCTGAAAATGTTTCAGCTAACCCAAATTCAACATATTGTCAATGGGTTTTATCCTTATGCAATTGAAAATATAGTCAAAATCTTACTTTGAAGATTCACTTTTCTAGTTTTCTCATTAAACTCTTAATGGGGGAGTAGTACATGCTGTGATTTTGACACAAAATTTGTACTGTCTCTAGTTAAAAAAAAAAGAAATACACCCAATTCCCTATTTAGCTCCCCTCGTCACGTACAACATGCTCCTCAAACACCTGAATTTAAAAATTCCTGTCACTTCTTTCTCTCCGGTTCCTAACTTTTCTCTTGTTCTCCATCCCTCTCATCTTTTCTACAATCTCAGTAAAAAGAGCACAGTTGAAAAGGTTAGACTTCTCGCTGTCCTGTGAAAGAAAGGCATAAATTTTGAACTAAATCTAAAGAATAAAAAACCTTGGTTTGTTGCAGCTCCAACATTTCGTGGCTGATATTGTAAGTTGATGAAAAAGAATTTGAAATTTCAGTCAAGATTAGATCTCACATCGGTACATTAACCAAATGATGCACGTAAAAATGTGATTGATCTCTGAATAGTTAAACAAAGATGGATAGACAGTATCTCAAGCCTAGAAAATAAAGTAGGGTACACGTCAGACCTTCCCCAACAGGGTTCAGTCTGTGACACTAAGGGGAAACACAGAGCAGAGTTGTCGTCACACAGCGTACATACTGTACACCTCATCTATATATAACCAGCAGAGATCCTGATGTATATTTCAGCAGTGAAAGCATCTTGATGGTAACTTTCCCAGCACAGCGGTCAAAGCAGTTCAACAATGCATCACCCAGCATGTCACCTAATCATGAAGCCCGGTTTTCACTCCCCTCCTGCTCATGCACTACAGGGTGAAAATCAGAGCTGCTTCATCTGCCCGCAAGACAGAGAGAAAGAAGCACATTTATTATACATAGTATATGTGGCTGTGCCGAATGAACCGACCATGGGAAATTGGACACATTTTAGCTCTGATGCTTGCCTGTCTCCAAGGGGAGCCAATTACCATGTTTCTCCTTCAAAACCGGCGAAAATAACCAAAAATTCCTCCATCGTCCCCTGAGCACAAGCAAGGAGCTCTGAGAAAAAATGTCCTCTTGTTCCTCATTCTGTTAGCCCTACGGACACTCACTGAAATCACACGTCCGCTGTATTCATTACCTGCTAACGACCCTCCATCCCTCAGAGACCGTGAGGAGAGAAAAAAGTGAGGGTGAGCGGGGAGAGGGGAGGGTTTAAAGGTAAGAGAAGTACAGATAGCAGGGACATGGGGAGGCCCATCATCATGGAAGATGGATGTTCCCCAGGAGCAGGTGATTTCCAGACTGGAACAGTGAACATTGGAAACATGGAAATATCCGACATGGCTGGTTACTTCAGGTCGACAGTGGCTCAGGAGTGTCCAGAGAATCTGGCGCTGAAAACTGGACTGCCCACACACCTGCTCTGACCTTCACCTCGGGTTGAAAACTCAACGAGCAGGTGCTTAGCCTAATGTTTCGAATCAGAGAACATTTTTATGTTTAATTAGAGGGAACATGAGCTGAATTTACCGATCAATTTCACCAATTTACCAACAGCAGACTGCAGCGGTATGAAGATGGCTGCTTTTGGCTTCAGGGTCGTATTTCTAGTGAATCATCCCAGCTTTGGTACAAAATCATGTTTTGTTAACTGCTTCTGGTTTTGGCTGTGGAAAATAAAACCAATCTTACTGATTAGATGACGGAGAATTGTCACAGTGGCGTGGCATCACCCACTCAAGTTTGGCATTTTACCACCATCATGTTGGCTCTCTGGAACCAGAAGTTACCATGTGCAGGAGAGAAGGAAAAGTTACTGAACCAGGATAGACAATACCCTTGACTCCATCATTTGCAGGTGAATGAGCATATTTGAGTTTCCCAACAGGTGAGATTGTGTTTGTGATAGAGGTTTTACAACTTATTTTTACCTGATGCCAAGTTTTTCAAAATTGTAGATGCAGAAAGGAAGACACTAGTGCACAAAGAAAATTGTATGTGATGGAAACATAACAAGCATTCCAACAGTGAGAAATCACACTCCTTATTCTATCATGTTTTATCTGTACAAAAAGAGAAAATAACAGCATTGGAGGCCAGCCCCCTCTGCAAATATTTGACTGGTTGACAATTGTCCACTAGAGATTAAAGTAGTCGATGAGTTGGTGAAACCCCCCATTTGTTGAGAACTTCTTAATAAAAATTCGGGCCCTTGCATTGATTGCAGGACAGGATCTTGTTCCACTTTCCCTACTTGTTGGTTGGGCCCAGTGGCTCCTCAGGCTGCCCCCATATCTTTACTCATAATGCAACAGACCATAGTTAGTCTGTGATCCAGTCAGGATAATGTTGTCTGGGTAGAATTAGGCTTTTAAAAAGACTTTGACGAACAGTGTATGAAAAGCCCTGTCATTGAGATTCATGGAGAGGACAGTGAATAGAATAAGAAACAATTAGAGGCAGTGGCAAGTGACATGCAGGAAAGGATCCACAGGCTGGAAGCAACCCCAAGGCCGACGGCTTGAGGCATAACCTCCATATATGAGGCACACACCCAGACCACTAGGCCAGTGGCCCCCTTTATATAATTGATTTTTTGAAGTTGATCCAAAAAAGGGGAATCAAACTTTGTCCTTCAACCTATGAAATATTTGTCTGAGTGTTTGTTGAAATGTTCTTAAATTACCATATTTTTCGGACTATAAGGCGCATTTAAAATCCTGAAATTTTCTCAAAAATTGACAGTGCGCCTTTACTCCAACGCGCCTTATGTATGATTACTTCTTGTACTTACTGATTGAATTTATGTGGTAATATGCGCTGAAAAATCTGTCGAAATGTGTAAGTACAACTTTGGTAAGCAACGAAGCCGCCCCGCTCATTAGAGCGTTACGGTACTCTGTAGCTGCGTCCGAATTGCCAAGTAGTAGTCGAAGTAGTAGTCGAAGTAGTATCTAGCATGTCCGAATTGGCCACCGGAGCGAGTAGCATGCTACTTCAGATACTACTTCAGATGCTAGACACGCCCACATTGTAGGTTGGTCTCGGTGCATCCTACGGGCATGCTACTGACCCAAAATGCACTGCGGGCTTCTTCTTCGTCCTCTTAAAAGTTGTAGAAGCGCATGTGATGCTAGCGCCACCAGCTGATTTAAAAGTGTCGCGAACGCCGGCTGGCCACAGCAGCGCGCACCATGTCGGAGCAGCAGCAGCAGCAGGCGGGGCCGCAGCAGTACAGATGTAAGTTTCATGTAACTTCACACACTGTCCTAAAAAATGTGCGGTTGTATCTCTTTGTCATGTCATGGTGTCATATTTGCCCAAGTAATCATTTTATGAGCAAGTGGCGACATCATGGAGGTAAAGCTCACTTATTCCATCATTAAACTGCACAGCTGCAGTACTACAGCCAGGCCCGCAGATGAGGGGCTTCAGTTACCACTGTCTGCACGGGCGCAGTACCTACTCTCTGCCTGCGGGGGTCGTCTTTCCCCACCGCTCGTCTAGTGTGTCCGAATTGGGCCAACGTTTTTAGTATGTAGGAGTAGGATCTAGCAGTAGCACGTAGCAGTAGCATGTAGTATCCGAGCGGGCAGTTCGGACGCAGCATGGGTCACTTTCTGATCTGCCCTGTAACAGGACCCCTGAGCAGGCTACATGACTGCCTGACTATAATGTCTAAACTAGGAGTGCAGAGTATGTGCAAGCAACAATAAACCAATCAATGCGCCTTACAATCCGGCGCACCTTATGCGTGAACATAGACACATTAATTCACATTGTGCCATATAATCCGGTGCACCTTATCATCTAAAAAATACGGTGACTGCCAATCCAACCAAAGATCCGATTACACCAACCAATAAATATATGTGTGAGAATTTGAACAAGCTACACCCGTTACTTTGTGCAAGAATATCAATACAACACTAAAATTTCACCCATGCTAAAATCCTCGCCTCCGTGGACATATTGCCCACATATAGGAGAAAGAGAAACGAGCTGCTAGAATTAACTGCTTCTTTTGCCAGGCTTTAAACACACTTCTGCTGTAAAACATGTTACAGGATCCAAAATGAGACATACTTTTTACGCCCATAACAAAAATATTAGCCACTTGTGCACTCGTGTCTCTGAAGTCAAACCACCACAGAGGGCTGACTGTAGTACTTTGATTTCCTATATCATTAGGTGACCAAGTTTCAAGAGCAAAATGCTTTTTTTTCTTTTTTGCATTGGGTTGACTCACTCCTGTTCCCCACATAAGGAGATAAGGTGGGTGTTCAGTGCGACATGATGAAATGATTGTGTCCTTTCTGTAAGAGGTCCTTAGGGTGACTCAGACAGAGACAGATGAGTATTTATGGTTCAACTATCTTTCTTTTTCGTTTCCTGTCTGAGGAAAGTTTGGCCTTCTCTTGGCTGAAAAGTTTCCCCCAGGGCGTCTCTGTCCACTGTCACTCACTGAGCCCTAACCCTTGAGGACAAAGATTCCTCTGCCACAGGGTCCCATTCACTGCGATATCCTCAGCAGATAAACTATGACTGCTTTATTTGTTCGCTCTCTCCTTGAAATCACTGAGCAAGAACAAGGTTAAAAGCATTCTTCTCGATTCAAAAACACTGTCTGTTTGTGATCATTGCACTTCCTGAAGCTGTTTTCAGCCATGGAATGCAGAAAATTGCTGAATTCCCACACCTTTTGAGTGAAAGACAGACCTTTTATTCATATCTTACACCTCGAACATTTAAAAATGAAGACTCAAGAAAAAGAAGGAACAAAGCCGGGTGTATCAGACGCTCTATTTCATTTCTGATATCTCTTTAATAGCTTTACTTAGTTTTCGAGGGGAAGAAAAAATCATAAAGATGTATTTAAAAACATTATTATTTTAGCCTCTGTCCGAAACGCTTCATCTTAGCTGCTGTCTCTTTAAGGCCCCCCACCCACAAGCGTATTTCTTCTGATTGGCCACCTCTCCAGGAGGCCAAAGGAAGAATGACCCAAAACAAAGCTTAAGAAACAACTTGAGATAGTGTTTACTTTTTTATGCGTTGAAGGTGATTGTAAAGGGATACAGCCCTCTAACTTTGCGTAATTTTGGTAAATGTAAAACAAAATTATTCAATAAAAAAGTTAAAAAATATATCTATAGATTTTTTTCGAAGGCGTTTGTATCAGGTTTGTACCCTGCTTGAAGTGATATAAGTGTGAAATTAAGGTTAAGGGTTGATCTTGGCAGGTTGATCGACACAGTGTTTCTTTGCTGATTCTGTTTTGCACATGAGTCATGCCCCCCAACTGTGGATTAATTTATTAATTAATTTTCTGTCTGATTGAGTTTCTTTCCTGTGAAAAATGTAACTGCAAAAACACATGCAGCACATCATATCGTAATGTCTCAAATCATATAGTTTTTTAATAGCATATAGTTTCACATCATGCATTGTCCTTTTGAATCTTGCCGTATTGCATAGTAACCTATCAAACCATACAGTATTGTATCAAATTGTATTGTTATTATTGGTTTATTTTGTATTACATTATATTGTGTACAAAAGTGCACTGTATCTTGCCCTATTATATCATAACGCATTGTTGACAACTGAATCTTATGGGATTTAATTGTATCATATTGTTTCATTTCATATTGTTTGGTATTGTACCTTGTCAGTATTATATTGTCACCTAACATGTTGTAATGTATTTTATTGTTTAACAATTAAATCCTATTTTACTGTTTTATATTGTCATAAGGTAATGTTTTTTCATTAATGCAACACAATATAATTATGTTGTATTGATTTTAGGGGGTATAGTTTATCACTGTAGCTGACACATGCTGTATTGCAGTTGCTTAAAAGCATTAAAAATAACTGCAGAGGTTATTAGTCTTTTTGATGGTGGTCTTGTTTGTTAGGTCATAAAAGGGCAACATTATTAATTTCAGTCCATTTAATGTGTCAAATGTAGAACCTTTGAATTGCCTTCACTTCACACAGTAATGTATGTGATGTACTGTGTGAATTTTTGTGGGTAGTGGGCACATCTGTCATATGGAAGTGTAGTGTTACCTCATTTTGTACTCACTAATTTCGCTTTTACACCCTCTATACTCTTTAACTATGACAGAAAGCTTTCACAAGGCTCTCAGTGTTCGTCACCATGATGTACAGTTACATAATTATAATCTTTCTTCCATTACACCGCTTTAACAGCAATACTGATATCTCATACTAAAGACGGAGCACATCTTTTATTCCCTTTTCAGTCTTTTCATCAAAGGAGCTGCAAGAACTGAGCCGAGCTGCCAAGGTGAGACAGAGAGCGGACATTGAGGAGAACATCTTACATTCCTGCACCAACTTTAATTTTCCGTGAATCAAGCCCATCTGTTTAAACAATATGCAATTAGCATCATTTAACAGCTATACTTGTTAAAGTGATTAGCCAGTGTTTACCATAAGCAACATTTTGTACACAAGATAGCGGCGCTCATTTGCATATGCTAATGCTTGGTAATTAGCCATGCTCCGTCGGGTAATTTCTATTCAGCCCCAACCTAAAGGCGATTTTTTTCTTTTTTTCAGATGATTAAAAACAGGCAAAATAATGAATGAATTCAATCAATCATGTAAAGGCTAATATATGCGCTACAAATGGCAAGGGGACAGTTTTAATGTCAGAAATCGAATGGCAAGTATAGGAGGATACGCCAAAACGTGAAAGACACGCAGGAGCTGCAGCCAAGGTAGACTTAATTGTGTTTTTCTGACAATTTCAAGTAACACAAACACCTTGTTGTAAGATTGTGGGATGCTGGTCGTAATGCTTAGCGTTCAGCAGGGAACGACAACACAGGCACTTCCTTTCTCTGTAATCACTTGCCCACACAAACCTGTTGACAGTTAGTGGGAGAACCAAATGGCTTTTATGTGCTTTTGAAATCAAGGTAAACCTCATTGGCCCTCCAGGCAGACATGGCTTAGAAGTGGTGACGAGACGCTGATCTAATTTAACTTTAATGTGTGTTTGCACTCCTAATTTTCTCTCTTCTGAGGCTCTGAGAGGCGTGATGCACTCTGAGACGGTTGGCTGTGAGGCGAGCACACAGCACCTCTGCTCATCTCTCTTGTCCTATTACCTCAGACTGTGCAGGGATATTAGAACAGCCAGAGATATATTTATTCCCATCAGAGCCGAGGCCAGATTGAGGGCAGAGAATATTTTACCCGCACAAACAAATGCCATCACTATTAGTAGAGCTGGCGGGATGCAAAGTGAATGTGAGCATGGTTTTTGTCTTAGGAAGTCCTTCTCGAGGAGGGTGTAGTGGCATGTGCGGCACTTGTCAGTTAAAAAACAGTCAATGAGAAGATTTATAAAGGGGATTATGTGCAGCAGATTGGAAATGCAAATCATTTTTCTCCTCAATTTACCACCTGGCAACTGAGCCCCCTCTGAAAGTACCTGCATTTAGTGGAGACATGTCCTCGTCTGCGTTTTCACTTTTGTTGGGATAATTTTGCAGAAATCTTGTGTCGCAGCAGTTCTCAAGTGTTTTTATTTATAACATGTTTTCGCTCATGAATAGATGCCATGTTTCAGTTGTTGTGCAAAAATGCTGTAAAATCCAGACCATGAGACACATTAAAGATGTCCTTCATTGCGACTTCCAATAAAAGTCTGTGACACGGTTTCTGTGCTGCAAAGCTCTCTCTTGTACCGTCTGTTGTTGCTATGTTGTTAACTGCTGGTACGGTAGAGGTAATCAGGGGAGGAAGGGTTTGTCTTCATGAGATACAAACGTGCAAGTTCATAAGCTTCTGCACAGGCATGTTTTGGCAGTAGTGTTGTGTTGTTCGTGAACGATTCGTTCAAAAGAACCTGAATCTTTTGAGTGAACGTACTGAACTGAATCACTTACTGGAGTGATTCGTTCGTTTCTCATTTCAATTGAACTGAAGTGAGTAACAGCATTGCCAGGCCAGCAGCTGGCAAACGAGGAACCACATGCACCAACGCTTGAATCACTTGGTAAACGAATCATGCATTAAACTGCACTCTCTGGAATCATTTTTGTTGTTTATTTTTTGTTGTTAAGTTTATTTTTACAAACCTGTTTGCCAAAGCAACACAGCCATACACTCTCGTCTCCCGGTCCCAGAAGCTTTGAATTAAACTGAATCAGGAGGTCGGAGTCGCAGGCCTCTCCCGCCAAGCGCTAAATGATTCAGTGATTTGGTGAACGAATCTTTTGAACAAATCTTTTTAGTGAACTGATTCTAGTGATTCAGTACATCTAGAAGAACTGCCATGCTCATCACTTTGCGGCAGCAAAGCAGTTGCTTTCTTCTGGATAACGTGCTAACATACAACATGCAACAAAATACCTCCCTCAGCATTTAATAATACTGGTAGATTGGTCGCGCTGTTGCAGAGGATGCAGCTGACCTTCGATGACAGAGAAGGTATAAAAAGTGCATCTTATGCAATGAATTATACATTATATGTGTATGTGTGATGAAGATGGATGGTAGTTAAAGCTTGTTTGTGTGTTTGTGTATGTGTGCTATAGTGTATCTGTTTAACTTAAGAGATATGTGGAGGGTCAAAGAATAAGGGCAACATACAACAGATAAAAAATCAACAATGTATAAGAGCAAACAGAGATTAAATCAATGAATGGACAAAAACGTACAATCAAGATGACAGTCAGTGGTCTCAACTCTAGTTGTATATCGATGTATTTTTAGATGTAAATCCAAATTCGATAAGAGTTGGGATGCTATGAAAAAAGAAACAGAAACAGGATGTGGTGGTTTGTAAATTATTTGAAGCCTGTCCAGATTTTAAAAAAAGTGCAAAGACAACATATTGAACTGAAAAAAAAAGATTTGTGAAAAATATAGGATATTTTAAATCTGAAATAAGCAACATGTTTTAAAAACAGTTGGGAAAAAGGATGACCAAACACTGAAAAAGTTTTAGAATGAAAAGAAAAGAAAAACCCTGGGAAAATATCCCTCCACCAATTACATGAAATTGCAACATGCTTGTATTAATAGTGAGTTCTAAAAGGCCCATTCCGGTGGGGCCAAGACGGCAAGAGATTCACAACACTGTGAGAAAATACATGAGCAAATAGTCAAACTATTTTAGAGGGAAACAGCAAGAAATGTGATTATTTCATCAAGTATGACTCATAATATGAAAAGATTTAGAGAATCTGGAGAAATTTTAGGAGGAAGGGCAAAAGGCCAAAAACAAATACTTCGTGGCCAGAATGTTCATGCTTTCAGGCAGAACTGTGTTTAAAACAGACACGACCTTCCATTGGAAATCACTGTCGCTGCATCCACCAACTGTTCTATGCGAAAACATAAGCCTGTACAAACATGATACAATGTTTATTATTATTTAGTATTATTTATTATTACAGCAATGTAACTATTTTTTTACAGGCTATTTTACAGGTGCTGTTTTTAATAGCAAAAACTAAACTTTTTGGTCCATCAGAAGTAAAGTAATTAAATACCAAAAAAAAAATCAACTGTCGTTAATCACCTTGGTTTGGTATTTTCCCTTTCAATGTAATTTTATATTTATTTTTACTTATCCATGTGTCTTTCATGACTTGTTTTACTCACTGTCGTCCAAGCCTTGTATCTTGTGTTAGACTGCCATTTTTCCCTGTGGTCTAGTTTTCAGTGTTTCCTGTCTTATTTGTAGTATTTTCTCCCACTGTGTCGAGTTTTACTTCATGTTTTTTTTTCTCCTTTGTGATTTTGTGCCCTCACTGTCTTCACCTGTGCCTTTGTTTCTCCTCTCTCTCTGTGTTTTTGCCCTTTGTTTTCTCCCATTGGTGCTAGATCATCATCAAACAATCTCCCGTGTCCCTGTGCTTCTTCTCCCAGTTCAGCTGTGTGTTCTCTCCTGGGTTTTTGGATTTTTACCCCGGACTCTGTCACAGTAAGGCTTGTTTTTTTTTGTGAATAAAACATGTTGTCTGCACCTCCTCTTACTTTGTAGACAAGAGCTCACAAACAACAAAACCTTTGTCATCTAAGTACTATAGAGGTGGTTGATCCATCCATACCATTGGCCAAAACAACCAAACTAAACAATAAGTAAACAAGAACCAGAACTAGTCTAGTTTTATGCTGTGTTCCAGTTACCTTGGAAGTCGGATGTCAGAGCTGGGAATGATGCTACTCCTGAGTTTACGGCGTTCCAGTAAAAAATCCAGATAAATCAAGATGGACGCCAACTGTTTGCTGTTGTTTACAATTGTCAGCTGTTGTTAGCCGTTGTCAGTTGTTGTTAGCTATACCAGTTGTAAACAACGCATAACACAGTATTTTACTTTTACAAACACCATAGCGCAGTGTTCACAGTTAGACGTTGGGCAGTAAAACATATACCACTTATTTAATGTCTCAAAAACAAAACACAAGTGCTAATAATTAATACATTAAGAGAGCTTTCGCTGTTACTCTTTACTGTTAATAAACTGCTCTGCCATCTTGGATTATGACATTGTCCTCAGGGTTGGTGAGGATTGTCTGACTTTCCGAGTCGGAAATCCAACTTCTGGGGGGCATTCCAGATTAATGTCCGACTCGGAGCTTGGAAATTCCGACCTCTGAGTCCAACTGGAACGCAGCATTAGTGTCTTAAAATTAGACCCATACCCAGCCATGTCCAGGCATTCACAACTCTCCCAGCCTCACACAAACCCACACTCAAACATGCCTCGAGATCGGTTAATCACAGGCAGCTTTCACATTAACTTTACAGCCATCGGTTCAAAACAAATGTCCTCTAACCTCGGGTCTCTTGTGTCCCCAAATGAAACTGTGTGTGTGTGTGTGTGTGTGTGTGTGTGTGTGTGTGTGTGTGTGTGTGTGTGTGTGTGTGTGTGTGTGTGTGTGTGTGTGTGTAAGTCGGCTAAGAGCAGAGAAATGCAGCAAATCTCTCCGTGGGCGGAGGTTGCCTTGGAGAATCACCTGGTGTTACCGGGGAAACAGACAAGCTGGTGGAGTGGCTATTTATGCAAATTGGTGATAGCCATGGGTGGGGTGTGCATGTCAACACTTACCTGACAACAGAGCCTGTTGCTATGGTGACTAAGAATGCAAAGTGGATGTAGACGGGGGGATTATTGCAGCCACACAGAATTAAAAACAGAAAATGTGAACAGCTGTTGTTGGCTGAAAAAGTGCCTGAGATTAAAACAACTTTAATCATATTTTATTTTGAAGGAATTAGCCTTGGATGAAAGTGTGAAGGAGATGAACTATTAATCAATTTCATACACATCTTCAGTTCGTGCCCACTTGGAGCTCTTTCTGTTTCTGATTTCATCATTTACTTACTGCAGATGGAGAAATTACGAAAAAGCCACCATGGCAGAACAACTATAATAACTCAAGTTCACTTTTTTTTATCCATTTCACACATTGCTGAGTTTTTTGGAGCCTTTAATGGTAAACAGTAACTTCTTACTCCAAGTAGATGTAACAAATGGTTTGCAAATTGCTGCCAA